GCAGAGGAGGTGGGGTCCTACTCTACTACCGCAGCGATCTACAATGTACAATAGTTGAGGACCTGGAAACACACGTCACCGACTCACTCTGGTGCCGTCTCCGACTGAGACACAACGACGCGTGTTTAGTAGCTGTCGTTTACCGCCCCCTAACGTCCACTCTGGAAATGGATACTTGCTTGATCGGTGGCCTAAACAGAGTAACATGCACTAGGTACAGCCACATTCTCATCTCCGGGGCCTTCAATCTACACAATCTGGAGGTTTCGGCATCGCCCAGTGAGCAGTTCAAAGCAGACTTGCAGGAACTGATCGCTAATATCCCTTTGTACAATCATGTCACCACGCCCACTAGATTCAGGACAGCAAACAAACCGTCCATATTGGACCCTGTGTTCACAAATGAAGAGCTCATTGTTGACAAGTGATTGATGGATAGTCCATTAGGTCTCAGTGACCATGTAGTAATAACGTTCAACTATGTGTGTCATGCCGAGTATCCATCTGAACATTCGGAATTAACTAATATAATCACATGCTACCATGTATGGAAAGAACTCGCCGACGCAGCTGCTTGGGAATTCTCAAAAAACAGTCCCATTGACAACGTTTGGGCACAGTTCGTTAATAGATTCAGCGACATCGTCAACAAAGCATCAGAGGCCAAACCCCTTCGTCCCGCAAAACTCCCTGCAATTCTAAGGAGCAGGACTCGAAAATGCCTGGCGATTATGGATGCCGCATGGGGTGCTTACAAGATTAACGCCGACTCAGAGACTTGGGACAATTTCCTGACCCACCGCAACCATTGCACTGCACTTGTCCGTGAGGACAAAGTAACTTATCAATAGTGTCTAGGCAAATGATTCATGGCAAACAAAAAACTGCTATATAGGCGTCTCAATAAGCTTCGTAAAGTGAAGCATGGAATACCCCCACTATTCACGACAGGCGGTAGAGCACAAAGCGCCGAAGAAGCAGGTAATGCCCTGCGGCTGCAATATGCCCCAATTTTTGAACTCGCAACATCTACCTGTCCCATAATATCAACCTCATTACTGACACCTTTGTTTACAAATGTTATTTTCAACGCATTAATTGTGCTAAGGAAGTTTCTCTCACTGCGTGTGCATAGTTCTCCGGGAGCAGACAACATCCGCCCGAAGGCACTGAAGGCTGTGGCTAATAAGCTAGCTGAACCACTGTCAAAGTTCTTTCAAAGGTGCTTTGATGAACAACAAGTCCTCACTATGTGGAAGTGTGGCATTATAACCCCTATTTTTAAAGGCGGTAGCCGTTCGATCCTGCTAACTATCGTCCAGTGACTCTCCTCCCTGTGCTCGCGAAGGTGATGGAAGCAGTCGTCGCTGAGGCTTTCATGGACTACCTGGAAAATGCAACATCTTGGTACCGGAACAGCATGGCTTCCGTCAACACCGGTCATGCACCACCAACCTATTGATAGCACGAGGTAGTTGGACGGAAGTGTCCGATGATTGGGTCGGAGTCGACGTCATCTATCTGGACTTCTCCAAAGCTTTCAACCGCCTTGATCACCGCATCCTACTTCAAAGACTAAAGTTCCGGAATCGGAGATCCAGTACTTGGTTGGATTGGCAACTTCCTTTACCAACGAAAGCTTCAAGTACGTGTTAGGGGATCACTTTCTAACCCAATTGATGTGGAATGTGGTGTCCCACAAGGCTCAGTACTGGGACCGCGTTTATTCTTGGTGTTTATCAACGACCTGGCAAGAGTCATCTCCTCAAACTTCCTGCTTTTCGCCGATGACGTCAAGATATGGCGGGCGATTGGTAACAAGTCCGATCACGATCTGCTCCAACATGACTTAGATCGCATTTACGAATGGTCAAAGAAGAACAAGTTTCAATTGAACATGGCTAAGTGCGAAGTGATGCATCTGCGTCACCAGCAGGTGAGCGCTTACAAGATTGGAGACCACACCTTGGCGAAGGTTTCTCAGGAGCGTGACCTGGGTGTATTGGTACAGGAAGATCTCGGGTGTACAAAACAAGCAGAAAAGTCGACGAGAACCGGAAATCAACACTTCGGCCTTCTTCGCAGAGCCTTCGGTCGGTTTGAACCATCAATATTTCCCCAAATGCTTAACGCCTACGTGCGACCTCATGTGGAATATGCTATTCAGGCGTGGCAGAAACAGGATCTCGTTGCTCTCGAGACTCCTCAACGACGGGCAACCAAGAACGTCAGGGGCCTCTTTCATCTGCCCTATCAGCTTAGACTGAAATCTCTAAGAATGTACAGCAGTTGATATCGGCTTTTGTGGGGGGATCTCATAATGGTTTACCAGATTCTGAAGAATCCAAACCACATTTGTCGTCCGCTGCTGGAATTGAACCACAATACTAAACTAAGAGGTCACCCTCTGAAACTGCAATTCATTATAGCCGGCTTGAATGCCGTAGAAATTTCTTTGCTCTCCGCGTGTGCCAGCCTTGGAACGCCCTCTCTAATTATGTCGTCTCTGCTCCCAATCTGGCGATATTTAAAAAACGTGTTGACGATACATTGTCTCACTTACATTTCGTTTTATGACTTGTAAGCCAGAGGCTACAAAACGCAATCAAACGGTGTCTTGCCAAACGACTAACCAATGGATCTATGGATTTATACGTTTAATACGCGAACATCTCCGCTATTCCACACAAGTCGACGGTGAGTCCACCACAACGCTTTTCACTTTATTACGCAATTGATTTTCGCAATAATTTTCATCCCACGGGACTTGTTAAGCGATGCTTTTTTACCCTTAATAAACCATTGTTCCATTGTTCCATTGTGTATGCCCGCTGCCTTCCAATTTGCCAGAAACCGTCATTAATCGTAGAATTACAATCGAACGTCTGCTTCCGTTTTATCCGAAGCTTGCGGCATCTATGTTGTCCTTCGTAACGGGTACTTAACTGTGACTTGTCTGTGAGTTGGTTTTTCCTGAGGTTTTGCATTTCCCAAGGAACAGAGTCACGCCTATACATTGTTGAACATTACAAACACACCATTTTTCCATGGAGTGATTGAATAGGGCTGGATAACTTCAGTGAAATTTATGTCTTGTTAGCTGAACGACCTCTAACACTGACTTACCCGCCGGCACGGTGGTTTGTCAAATTACCAGAATGTTTCTGAAGTATCCCGCATATTGTGGGCATATTGAACGATACGCGGATTTAAAGCAGTATCTCGGATAGATTTAAAGATGTTGACGGGTTAGGACAATATCGACGTCAAGGAATAGTCCAAAGACACAAAAATGCGATATTTTAGTAACTGGTTAATTCTTCAGCAGCTAGCGTAAACATGATTTCTCAATGCACATGCAACTACCAATTTGTAGGGCTCGCCGTCTTGACGTTTAGTCAGTTAAATGTCCGTCGCGATGAAGTTTTTGTTCTGACAGCTGTACGCCGCAGCCACCGCCGTTGCAACACAACCCTACTATACTCGCTCACACATTGCATGTCATGTCATTAACAATCTCCGAGGTCATTTGATCTATTAGTGAGAAAGGTCTTGCAATTTCACACTAGACAATCATTTAACTAACCCATCATATCGGAACATTTAAAAGCAGGATATTTTGTATGATTTGTTTGAGAGGATAATTGGGAAACGTGCATTGTAATAGCTAGAAACACAGGTTGAGTGCATAAGGGGTGTCTCAGAGTTACCCTACAGTTTACTAACTGGCTGTCAGAGATAGCGGTTGGACACGGGTACAAATAATCTCACATAGCCTGAGAATTTGGGGTCTTCTCTGAAGCCAAATATTCTTGATAGATTTCGCGCTTTACCGGGTGGATAACAGGAAGACACGTTCTAATCGTCTGGTTAGTTTGATTTCAAGAGCAAATTACGCGCACAACTCCAAACCAACTGAGGTTGCTAGTGCTGTTGTCTGATATTCACCGTGATGTGACGAAAATGCGGTCATTCATTTGGTTTCTAGTGAAACAATAATAAATACACAACTTCGTTTGTGTGTTCTAATCGCTGAGTGAATAGGAGGAGGCGGGATAGAGAAAATGCTCGAGTCAGTTCAGAGAGATCACGGGGATCTTAATTCGGAATGGATCGGTTAACTTTCCTTTACGATTATTGAACCAATGCTCCTCAGTGTCCACCAAAGGCAGTGTCCTCACAAGAACTCACAAGGGGTCTCAGTTATGTGCATCTTATAATCTGGCCCCCTCTGGTTTAAATTCATCAGGTAGGTGCTTTATTCATTTCGTTGATCCTTGACTGCGTCTATTGGGCATTTTCCAATCTCACTCGAAATCGCACAAAAAGTGACACCGAATCGCTGAGTTCATGTAGGGGAGTCAAAAGTTTCGCACCGTGACGATGCCATTTGGTCCAGCAGCTAGTGGTGTTCCCCTGAGCAACCATTTGACCGGTAGCAGTAACACGCAGTCCACATTCCAAACAGGTATACGGTTTTAGTTTAATCGTGACCTTTCGTTTCTAAATGCATCATTTCTGTGTTAACTTCCGGCTGTTGTTCTGAAGTATAGACTCACCTCAACCAACCACTGTCTGCAACCGATTTGAGCAAGAAGCTAAGTTTAAGCACTCTTCGAATATAAACCGGAGATTAACAAACGCGGCAAACCACTATACCTTTTCGCTAAAACTGTTCTGATTTGTTCAGATGATTAGCAATGCAGATCTCAGTACAGCAAAAGTCAAACTGCACAAGTAACCAGAACTGGAGAAAGACCGGACCAACGTACATACACCGGCCAAGGATGCTTAAGGATCTTTAGTTTAATGTGGAGCTCTAGGAATATCCATAGATGGGGAATAGTTCAGGAGAACTTATCAGATCCCACCCTCTAGAGTATTCAACTGCATCCGCATGATACGAGACAGAGCATTTGATAGACTACTAGGAGCGACCCCCTAGACCAAGTTTGAAGATGGGTATTTAGTTCATTCCTTGAAGTAAAGTAACAGGAAAATTAATGTGTGTAACATTCTTTATAATGTGAATCGTGTAAAAATGGATAGGAACATTAATTTTACAAAATTCGATTATCGACAGCAGCATATTCAAAAGATAGCCAAAAAATGGAAGATGCATAACTTCTTCTGAATTCCTTCTTCGTCCGTCGGGAATGTTGAAAAGGATCTGACAAACGCAATACAACACTCACTGCATAGTTATATGTTACCTACACTCTATGGGGAACAGAGATGCAACGGAGAATTTACTGTCGCTGTATACTAAGACTCTCAAGCTGGATACATCTTTAAGGTAACGTCACGTGACAAAAATAAGGAATGGCACAAAATGCTTATTCTTCTGTCACCGGTTCAGACCATGTTGCGTTTCATTCCGACTCTGTCGTTATAATCAGGTTCGAATTGGACGATGGTCCAGCGCTGGGAAGTTGACGGCTCTCACATCTCCCGTCAGTTCCAGCAAGGGAGGCGAAGGTGGGGCAGCAGTTGTCAACCCTTCGCCACCAACGTAATCGCCCGTCACTACAGTTTGCGAACTCGATGCTGCTGAACTGGTACGCTGCGGTAGGATACACTGAGCGGAACTGGCCAGGACAGGGAAGGCGCAATGGCTCGGGGTGGCATTCAAACGCAATTTTGTTGGGGTACGTTGGCTGTCCGGGTTTCCGAACCGAGAACACCCCCAAGAAGAGATACAATCACCATTCGATGAATTGGATATCCCGTTTGTCAGAGCGCTTACACAGGCACACTCGTTGATCTGAGATATTTGTGCACGACAATTAGGGCACACCAAAGGCACTGGGTTCGATGCTTCAATATGTGATATAGAGAAGAAAGGTGACTCTTCAAAATTGTTCGATGCAGCCTCCGCCGTTCCAGACATCGATGGTAGTAGACCAAAGCGACCGTTATTGTATGACGATGTATTTTGAGTGGGGCTGTTGGAACCCATGATCCATATTTCTTCAACAGCCACATCTTCGTCAGAGTGCCCAGAGCCTGGTTGGTAATTTATTCCGCAACAGCGTAGATTACAGTAACCTTGTCGGAAACGCGCTTCAAAGTTTCCAGTGGCCGCAGTGGCTGTGTTATTCACATACATCGAATCAGATAGTCCTGATGCTAGCGATGATTCAGAACCTGTTCCAGAACTGTACGCTTGACCTTGTAAATAGAGGGCAGCTGTCCCTGATGACCTACAACTGCGACTCCTCTGATCAGGTGAGAGGTGACTTTCATGCAGTTGTTGATCTCCTGAAGTAATGAAATATTGGATTATCAATCTAAAATTGCGTCAATCATCGGTACCAAAAAGAAAGAAATACCACGAAGATTAGCATACGCAAAATTACTAAACCGACAATTTTACTTGCGCATGGAGTAAAGACATGAGTTCATAGTGGTGTCTGTTCGAAAGGTCGTGCGAACATTCCGGAAAAACAACTACGGTGCAGATACACTAGCAAATCTGGAACCGAAGATCACCTTTCCCGGAAGATTGTGCATTTATATTTTACTACCTAGATTGAAATAGTAGTATGTAGAAGTTACTTAAGTTGACAATTCTGGAGAGGATTATTACGCTTAAGGTACCAAGAAGTGAGGGTGCAGAACACAGATTCAGTGAAGTGGAGGGAATTTCTTCACTCTCGAAGCTCCTATAGAGTTGGCTAGATATGGAGACAAATAAGAAAGTAAAAATAGTGATTACGGTTAGTAACTGGGCGCTCGAGGCTGTGCCGTCAGTGGCAATAACGGGAGCTATGGCGATGTTAATGGCAAAACTTGTTACAACCTAATAGCAAGATGGATTCGCAAAATCAGAAACTTGGTATTCTGTCCACAGTTGCCATAGTATGAAAATACGTTGTGAAGAGGACTGAACCAACAACACCGGCTGACAGATGAGACGAACTTTCGTTTAAGTCTAGCTTTCAGGGGCTATCTGATTGTAACTAATCAGCCCACGATTCTGGCGAATCAAACGAGTAGGGAAAACATTTCAGCCCATATGATCCTAACAATGTGAATGCAGCTCATCTTCTTGGAAAAGCAAGAGGGGCGCGACGCAACCCGATAGCTCTGATTGCTACCATATTTGCCCTTGATCTAAATAGTGCATTATTTGGGAATATTTTGGCCGGTCGTTTTACAGGCAGACGTTCATTGCAGATACACTAGGCTCCTGGATTTGCTCGAGAGATTTTCTAAACAGTTGTCGGTATATGCATTGTCTAGCACTGCCAGAGCCACTGATGTGACATACCGGCTAGAGGAGTTTAATCCAACGCTTAGTAGTGCAGACGACGTAAGCCCAATTTCTAGTGCGAATATTAAGCGAAGGATGAAATGCTACTACATAGGCCGCCCACAGTTAGTAGAAGACGAACCACATCGATTTCGAGGAAACATGAAGAGAAGTTCAGATGAATGCTGCCACGATACTCCGAGTACTAGAAGAGAGCATGGTGTCACTGCAGTCGCGTTACTTACCTCGCCGCTGTAAGAGTAAGGTGAAAACGAGCCTACAGATATTCTGAGTTTAGGAACCGTTTGAATACTTATGCATTAATATCACGGAGATGCCGTTCCAACATACCTTGTTGCTCGAGTTGTTCTGCCTCCCGTTGACCTCCCTGGTCGACGAATAACGAGCGGTGCAACAGGGACTGGTTTACAACAAACCTCGATCAAAACAAAATTGGTTACTCGACATTGCTGGATTCAAGTATCTTGTATCGCCGCAAGCAGAAAACTTCCTCCGCTCAGCAACTTGTATTAGGTGCAGACAAACTAGAGCCATTTGTGAGAGCTCACTTCAACAGCACCGAATGCTAGCCACTCATAAACAAATTATACGTGCCCATAAACTTCACGGGCATAGTCAATAATCTGACCGTCGTCGCTACTTACGTGGCCGCTTAAGGTGGTTCGTACAGGTTAGCTGACGTCGAATATGACATCGGCTACCGGTGCGCATTTATGATGCCGTCTGACAGCAAGTCTGTGCCAGCACAGCCGCAAGCATAAAAAGGTCCAACACTGATGACCAATGGTAGTTGTATTCGCAATTCTCGGAACGTGGTCCACTAGGGGAATGATTAGTGTCTCACCAAAAACTTCTACTTTCTTCCATTTTTCCGGTATTTTAATGACTTCTCTTCGTTACTTATGCGTAGTTACATACACCGAGTACGAGAGAGCAATCACATGAATGCGGTTCAGGGAACAGCATTGTCATCAGCTCATAGAAGCGATCACAGTAAATGCCCTCCGCACTGGTGCACGTGCCCCAATACCTAAATCTAAAGAAGTCGCAGTGTAGGATAATAGTTTCTCGAAGGGCTTAGCACAAAACTTAAGTGATGTAAGAATGCGGCCTGTTCAATTGCATCCCACATGGAGACTGCTCATTTTGATTTGCGCTGCGGAAGCTTCATTGTGCCTCACTATTTACCACCAGATATTATCACCTCGTCAGGTCAATTCACCTCATAAGGTTGGACACGTGGTGAGCCGGTCGGATAAGTCGGCAACAAACATTTGTCGTTTTGAGTAGACAACTGCCCACGTGGTAAGCACGCGAACGTCCAGAAGGAGGAGACCTGGTATGATACTGCACGAAGCTGATGCTGGTGTATGTATGTGTGTTTACTGTACCCGCATCCGGGCAACCCACGTTTTGTGCGTCTACCAGATGCGCACCATGCCAGCAGTCTCATATACGTCGTACTACTATCGCAAAGACGACCACCAGTGGGGTGGTGGTTATTCACTGTCCTGAAGATCGGCCAGCATTGTATCCGGGGCTGATCCATAAGGTCAAGCCTATTGCTCGCATGGCAGAGCTACCTGAGTGGTCGTCAGACTTACTAGTGACGTGAAGCGTTCCAAACCACCGTTAGTCGCTGTGGTCGTCTTCGTGACCTGAGGTCTTGCTTTGCTCACGCAGCCTTAGCTGATCGTGTGTGACTGTGATGTTACTCAGCATCTACCCAACTACTCAGCTGGAAAGAAGTGTGAAGTAGCATGCACATTACGTTGCTTGTGAAAGAGGAAGTGAAGGGATTTTTAAAAGTGATAATAATCGCTTCTAAGCAATTAACGGGAAATGAAGCTAGGTGCGACATAGCGCCTCTTATTATCCTCCATTGATTATAAATCACGGATCCGGTCCCAATCTGGTACCCTTGGCCTGATGGCATAAGCTGCTGACTGGAGGTGCAAGCGGCTGGTGGTCATAGGTTCGAATCCCGATGGATCCAATGGATGATGCCCAACAGTTCGAAACTGCGGTCTGGTGCTTTGCCGAGCACGTGGTGGACTATCAGATTTGAAAGTTGGTGCGACGAACGTTTAAGTAATTAGAAAGATAATAGTTTTGTACATCCGTTTTGACCTTGCCGAATATAAAGGAAATGTAAGACTGGTGACGACGTACTCATGGTTACTTAAGTTGATATTCCATATTCCTATGATCTAATTCCCTTCATGAATTATTGAAAACAGATTAGTTTAGGAACTTAATACGAACGTTTTGTGCACTTCATTATACGCGAAGCTGTGTCATCTATTCGGTCCCGGAGACATGTGAGAAGTAGTGTTGCATCACCAATGCTGATGTCCACGACATCTAAAGTGCAAATTGTGGCATCATTGAACGCTATGCAATGCGGAGCATACATGGGTAAGAAGATATTGCTTTCGTTGATGTTGGTAGCCATAAGTGGCATAATTTTGGTTTATGCTGTGATCTGCCGGCTTTTGTGTTAATTTTTACGGCTCAAATAACGTAACCGTAGTTTTGCGGTGCATTTGGGTACATACATGAAGGTAACACTTTTAAAATATTTGGTCAACAATTTTTGTTACTAGATTAACTCATCTTGGATGCGAAAGTCAAACGAGCACCGGTATCTATAGGGAAGTCTTATGTGCGTTGCGCCGCAGCACCCACAGCTCTACACCAATACACACACCCTATATCAAATAATCCTGGGGGATAAGACTGGTTAGTAATGAACAGGCTCACGCTCCCTCAATACGCACATCAACGATGTTAACATGTGGGTCTATGCGTACCCGAAGTACAACGTGTGCTGACTTGGAGGTGTCCTATATCGCAAAAATAGACGACAGTGTATCATTCTGCTACAGATTAATCCAGGTTACAGACGCATACTGTGCTGTGTCTTATTCAGTCATGCAAAGTGGATTGCATGCTTGTCTCTCATCAGTGAGATGGCCTTAGTTCTGCCAGGGGACCCTGAAATCCACAAACTCTTTGCCCCCTACATGCACATGGCAATCAGCCCTTTGGAACAGTTCAGTGTTGATATAATCCAGATGCTTCGATCCCGTATACTTGCTTGGGGTAGTCAGGTTTTACACACGCTCCTTTATTCAGCTTCATATTACCATGCCCAGAAGGTCAGTTCAGTAATGTAACATTGAGAATGCTGTAAAACCGTGCTGACGCATTGTTGAGGGTTATATTACTGACATGATTGTTAACACGACTAATGTAACCTGTTATACTATGTTTACCGGTAGTGCGTAATAACAAGTGAATGGCTGCATCTAGCTGAGCGAGAGGTTTGGAAGCCACGGTCTACCATCAGCAGTGCTTCGCCGCACCCACATGAAAACTTGCTGAAACTTGGAAAGAAAACTGGATTTCATCAGCTAACAACTGCGCGAGATGAGTGGATTCATCCAGTTCTAGGACCCCCCTCAAAATACATCGGTAAAACCAATTGTACATGACCTTTTTATTTATTCAAATAATGACATATTTCCGTCAACGGCACGCAGGTACGCAATACCGAGGCTTTTGCTGCCGCGAGGCCACCACCAGTCACGCGTGGACTAAGGATACTACGAGAGTCGAGCGGTCCCTACGCAGGATCGAACCCGCGCTCACTGAGTAGAAGTCACGCTTGTGATCCTCAAGACTACGGAGCTGAACGCTGCGGGTATATCCCTAGTTTGTGGACTGAGGAAGGCCATCCTTGTGGATGTCTCTGCGAATTAGTCTTGTTTGCTTCCCAAGCGAGATGAATGAGCAGTCGCGGACAACCAGGTGAAGCATCTCAGTGTGTGGATAGTTCTGGGCTTTTCACCTGGTTCCCCATCAAATGCCACAAGAGCTCGTATGGCGTTGTGGGAAGCCAATGTAACCGGCTATAGATTAAGTGAACACTCACTTCGGTAACCAGAGGTGAATACCTAACGGAGGGCCACCGGCTTCTGTG